TAGAAGTTGAAGAGCTGAACCAAGCTTCTGACCCCAAGCCTCAGCCCAGGAAGGTCACTGTTCAGTGGTAGAGCCTCCTATTTCCATGCCAAAGGTTGCATGTTCAGCACTTAGCATCTCCAGGCAGGGCTGGAAAAGACTCAGATCTGTAATTTGGAAAGATGCTCCCTGTTCATGTCATCATGTTTGGGTTAGAGCAGTGTTTCTCAACTCTGGGAGTTGAAGTCCGTACATCTTAAAGTGGCCAAAGTTGAGAAACACTGGTTTAGATAGAACAGCCATAGAGGTAGGCAATTTTTGGAGAGGAGGGGCCAAATGAGACTTAGTTCCATTTGAATGGGCTTTCTGCTTTCTCATTTCTCCCTTATACACATATGGCGAGATGGCCTCTGATGGCCTTAGGGTATAGACCTTCATAAAGGTTAAAAAAAACACCACCACCAACAGCAGTTGGAATTCTGGATGTTGTAGTTCCAGCACATTTGCAGAGCAGTTTGAGAAAGGCTGACATGAAGACTTATAATGAAAAGTCTACATTTTAGCTAGTCTTGATGGCCAACTAGCATTTCTAGTTGCAACCAGTCTGTGCCTCTTGGGTCAGAAAACAGACAGAAGATTTTGGCAGGTTTCACTCCATTCAGCATGTGAAAAGAGACTTCCTTTGTCCCCCCCCGGCTGGTCCATTCAGTTGTCCTGAGACAAGCACCCTACCAGCTTCCAAGTTGGAATCACGAGTGCGTTTGTGGTCTCTTGTGGAAAATGACTGAGAATTTCCAACTGTGCAAGGCTTGAAGCAAATGAAAAAGCTTTGAATGAGGCATGTAGGAGCTTTTATGGGTAAAACTTGTCTGAGTGCCAAAAGCTGTGAATGAACAGTTTCCCATGGCTGGGTGCGTAGGAGAAACATGTGTTGAAGAACTTGGAAAGAGGTGTTCATGGACAAATGCAGGAAGAGGACAATATGGCTTTGATTCTTGGAGGGGGAGCTGACAACAGGCATGGGCGATTGGGGGGGCTTCTGTGTATGGATTAGGCGGGCATTGTGAGAGTGGGGCAACAGGAGCTGAAATAAGTTAGAAGAAACCACAAATACCCAGCAATTTTCAGCAGGACTTTGCAGATTGCCTTGTTGTAAATAATGTTTAGCTCTCCCCCAGATTGTTATATTTTGGAGCAAGAAGGAGAACAATTCCTTATCTTGATGAGAGTTGCTAGCTGTATTACACGCGTAGCTGCTTTCTAATTGCGTTCCGTGTTCTGAGAGTGTGTCCATCTGAATTCCAGAGGCTCAGCAAAGAGAAGCTGCCATGTTTTGAGCTTCCCAGAAGTATTGGAGGGCTGCATTCTTCCTCCAAACAGCACAGGGAATAAGAAGAGTGTGTAGTCTAAATTGCATGGGGCCTGGCACTGCTGCTACAGATTGCAACTTGGTGGCATGACATAGCTTCAGTTCCTGGAGGGATTCCATGTAAAGAACTTTGGGGAGCAGAACTGAAGAAGAGATCTATATCTAAAATAGTGATGGACAACCGTTAGGCCCCTTCACACATATAGGTCATGACTGTTGTTCTTCTTGAAGAATTTCTTAGGCTTGATTGATGGATATAGTGCCATCAAGTTGATGTCAACTCTTAATAGCCACTTACAGTAGATAAATTTTCTTTAGAATGATCTGTGTTTGACTTGCCCTTCGATCTCTCAGTGGTGCATTCATTGCTGTCAAATCTGCCTTGCCACTGGCCATCCTTTTCCTCTTTCTCCTTCAACTTTTCCAAGCATTATGGACTTCTCAAAGAAGCTGAGTCTCTGCATGAAGTGTCCAAAATATGATAGTTGAAGCCTGGTCATTAATGCTTTGACTGAGAACTCTGGCTGAATTGGTTCTGTGACCCACTTGTTAGTTTTCCAGGTTATTCATCGTATCCTCAAGAGTCTTCTCAAAAAAAGAGAAGTTCAAATGTCTTGATTTTTTTCTGTTCTGCTTCTTCAAGTCTGTTGATGAAGATTCTCAGTCACCTAGGTGGAATTATCCAGTGGTTGAGTCATGGCAACTGGACTTCTTTTCTTTTGGTTTGATAGTTGTCCAAGCAGCTTCTTCAGTCTAGAAAGTTGGTTAGGGTTAGGGTTAGGAGATGTGATAGTAGAGTCTTTGGGATATGGATGTCTTGCTCCTAATCCCTCACCAGGGAGGCAGCACTTAACACACACTTGGGGATGAGTGAGGGATTAGGAGCAAGACATCCACATCCCAAAGACTCTACTAAACACATCTCCTATTGTCCCTTCAACGAGCCCATTGTGTTCGTGAGAAACACAGCCACCCTGGAAGACATTTATGGGGTCCCCCCTAACCAACTTTCTAGACTGAAGAAGCTGCTTGGAGAAGCAGCGAAACATATCAAACCGAAAGAAAAAAAGTCCAGTTGCTGTGACTCAACCTCCAGATTCTTCAGGTCTGGTTTTGATGTCTGCTAGGTGAGTGTCCCAGAGAAAAGCATGGCTAATCTTGGTTGATATGGACACATCATAGCATTTGAATATTCTGCTACGATTTAGTGTTTCTGTTACTCCAGGCTGATATTGCAGAGTTCATGTATTTCCAACCTCAAATTTTGCAGTGCAGTTGAAGGGGCAAGAGAGAGAGAGCCCATTTCTTGGTCTAAGAGCTGGTATAATTGCAGGAGACAATCCAAGGGTCAGTGGACAAATGATCTGATTTTGTATCCTACAGTCTGTTAATAAAACAAGGAAAATCCTGCTGATCAGGTCACAGACCTGTTTATTCCAGCCTTCTGTGTCACACAAGCCAACCAGATATGTCTTGGAAGTTCATAAACTGAGCATGCGAATGCAATCTCTTTTCCTCTGTGGCTCCTCAGGAGTTGGGTCCTTTGATTCTGGAGATAGCATACAGCCATTCTAGCTAGCAACCACTGATCACTCACTCTTCCATGTATTTGTAAAATGATGTAAACCGGTGGCTCTTAAACCACTTTGGTGCTGTAATGCTCCATAGTTTATCTTTGGATTGTGTAACAAAGTACTTCCTTTTACTGATCCTTAGGATCAAGTTGGATTTCTCTCTGCCTGTGACTGTCTTCCTCCTGTACTAAATTGTAGAAGAGAGGCAAGGATGTTTTAAGAAATAGATACAATAACTTCCTATCCACAGAGGCATGCTAAATACACATTGAATGGTGAACAATAAAGCAAAGCAAAGCTTTTGTGCAAATGAACACTCTGATGCAAAAAAGGAGAATTGGTGAGTGTATAATAACCTGCTCCTTAGCACCTTGGAGATGTTCCCTTAATTGAATGCAATCTGCCATTAGATTAACATCCCCTTACTTCCCAGCTAATGAGGCTATTCCGAAACCTTCTTGGCACATTTCCCAGTTTGCAACAACAAAGCTCTAAAGATTTATGTGGGAATGTTCAATTTTCTTGGACTCTTCCCTGAAGCGAAATCCAAAATGGAGAATCATAAACCGAATAAACATTTGTTCCTCAGAGGGAGAATCATCCTAAAGTAAGCCAGATCTTTGTTTTAATGGCAAAGACAGGAATCTCCCACATGTCAAGGCAAAGTATGGCCTGGATTGCACATCACAAGCCACAATGATTTGTTTGCTTTTAGCATCATAGGTGAACCTACTCACTACAGCATAGTGCTATGTGCAAACCAGCTCACTATGACATATTTTGTTCAACAAACCATGCTTAAAAATCCTTACTTACCAGGATCTGTCTGTTTTAAGCTATTGCCATTGGCTTAAGGTGTTAAACTAAGATTGAGAAGATCAAGATTTAAGCCAGTCTTCCAACACAGTAGTCACGGTGAGACTTCGGGCTCTTAACTATGCTTTCCAATCTACTCTGAAAGGGATATCATGGACCTCTTGAATTGTTCCTGGATATTTATTAGTAGAACTCCTGCTGCCAACTTGCTAGGCTTCATGCTAAAGTCAGCTTCTTATGCCTTTCCAAACACAACTAGTTGTTCCATCTGGTTGCTCAGTTCTCCCAGGCTAGAGGATGCAAAAAGTCAACCGCATTGAGTCAAGACATTTTGTTTTCATTGGTTGCATAACCTTGCTTACACTTTCCATAGGCAGCCTGTGAGCAAGGAAGGAAAGAATGGTGATCTGTGGTTAAGGGTTTCCAGCCAGCCCTTGCGATGAGTTGCATTTCTGTAGAAGAAGACTCACTGTTCTTTTCGTATGGCTGGATTCCCTTGCATTCCTGAGTTCTGGCAACATCTGAGTCACTTATAATGCATAGTACAAAGCTCTGTTTAACTCATATAATAGCCCAGGGGGAGGGTGATGTTCCCTTATTTATGAATGGAGAGTTGAAGTCTATAGTCACAGTCTTTGTTGAGGCATCTCTGCAGCCACTCACAAGACAGGTGGCAAGTGGGAAGAGGATTCTTCGGTAATGGCACCCCATTAAAGACCTTCTTCCAAAACAAGGCTTGCTGCTCATCTGCTTTGTCTTTTGGTTGCCAGGCAAAAACTATGCTGGCACTTCCAACTTTCAGAGGTCTTTTTTTAAAAATGCAACACATTGCATGCCTCATGTTTAACCAGGGTCAACGATGGAGCCAACGTGCTGTGTGAACGAGCAAACCTAGTCATTACTGGGACAAGAGAAGGTCAGTTTGAATCCAAAACTCTACTGGGACAATCGTGAGACAAATGACCCTTCCCTGATCAGCCATGTTGTGTAAACCTCAAAACCTAGTCAGCTGTGGAGTGGTATCTAAGTCACATTCACTCAGTCCTTCAAGAGAAAGAGATGACACTGTAGAGCAGCTGAACATGCAAGGCCCTTATTCCGAAGAACTGGTAGAGATGAATGCGTATCTTCCAAATCCTTCTTTTTCCTGTGCTAACCTCGCTAGCATTTGTCTGCATAAAGGCTCATGAGACACCAGGCAGGGCTGAAGAAAGTGAGTGGGCTGTTGACCAGCGTAGAGTGATTGTGTGTTACAGATTCACTGGGAAGAAGATCTGACATGGTTAGCTGTTGACCGGGTTAAGCCTAATGCGTGAGCCAGTCCAAAATGTGGCATGGAATAATGGTAAGCTTTTAAAACGGTGATCCAGGTTGATGCTGAATCCCTTGTGCACATTTTGCTTTTTATTGGAGAAGAAAATAACTCAAAGAGTGCCAGTGTATTTATTTACTTTCATTTATTATTAGAATCATATTTGACCGTATCCAGCTTTCCTTTGTGAGCTCAAGGTGGCAGACATATTTCTTCCCCCAAATGCCTCCATGATAACAACCTGTAAGGTAGTTAGGGCTGAGTGACAGTCAAGGGGTCTCCTTTCCTGCAGCCTGATATCTACAAATCTGCAACTCAGCGAATGTAGATTTTTCAGTCAAAAATGCCACACCTTCTTGCTTAAACATAAAAAGACAAGATCTTGAAGTTAGAGGTATCTCAATCATATCTCATTTTTTATGCAGGATACAGATCTCAATTTTTTTTTCTGGCCTATGCCTGATTTCTATACAGACACGCATACACTTTTTGGCACTGGATTCAGTTTCCATTGCATATGGGGAACGGTTAGAGCTGTTACAAATAACTTCATTAGGAACATCTTCTGCCAGGTGCAGATGAAATGTATGCATGGTGGGAGTGATAAGATCTAGACCAGTGTTTTTCAAACTTGGCAACTTTAAGATGTGTGGACTTTAACTCCCAGAATTCTGGGTGGCTAAGGAATTCTGGGTGGGGAATTCTGGAAGTTGAAGTCCACACATCCTAAAGTTGCCAAATTTGAAAAACACTGATCTAGATCTTTCGACAGGAAGACGGGCTAAACATAAAGGCATTTTTAAAAAAAATTATTCAGTTTGGATGCTGCCCGGCTCCAACCAATTCTGGGTGGCTCACAACAATAGAATAACTTAAAAACAACAAAATCCCCAAAATTAACCAGAACAAGTGCAAGAGTAACTACAAAATGGCAATGCAAACATCAAAGCAAATATAAAATATCACAAAGAGGGGAGTCCCATCCAAACTACCCCAAGTCCTGGGTGAATAGCTAGATTTTCAAAAACATCATTAGGGTGGGAGACCTCAGGGGGACCTCATTCCAAAGAGCGGGCGCAGAGGAGGCATGCTTCCTGGGTCCTCCTAGATGACACTGTTTAATCCAAAGGACCTTGTGCGTGCCCGCTATGTTGGCTAGTACTGGCTGACAGAAGCCATGGTCCCTCAGATAACTAGGCCATATGCCACACAGAGCTTCATAGGTAATGACCAGCACTTTGTATTACACCTGGAAGCCAACTGGTAGCTAGTGGGCTTGCAAAGCAGGAGTGTCACATGGGCATACCGAGGCAAGCCCACCACTGCCTGTGCTGCTGCACTGTGGACCAGTTGATGCTCCTGAGTGGTCTTCAAAGGCAGCCCATGTAGAACACATTGCAGTAGTTGAGCCATGAGGTGACAAGGTATGAGTGACTGTCTGGAGGGCTGCCTGATCCAGGAAGGGTGCAACTAGTACATTAGATGTCCCTTTACAAAAGAACTCTTGGCCACAGATGCTTCCTGCTCTTCAAATGGCATCAATACATGAGGCTGCCTTGGAAGATGACTCAGAATTTAAGCGGATAGAGAAAGCTCCATGTCTCCTTGTTGGGATTGGGTAGACTGATTGTATAACAGTTCTTCACTACCTGGCCCAGTCCTCTGGAACAACGTTCATCATGAGATCTATGTGGCTCCATCCTGACTGTTTTTAAAAGAGCTCTGAAAACTAGGCTCTTCCCCAGGCCTTGGTTAGACTGAGTGGTGGATTGAGCTGTACTGTTTTTAGAATTGAAGATTTTTCTTCTTCTGGACATCTGTGCTTTTTTTCTTACATTTTTTTAGTAGCCATTTAAT